GAGAAGCCTCTATGTGGTTGCTGTGGGCGGGGCTACTCCCCAGTTGCTCCGCAGCAATGGCAGATCAGCTGGTTTGCTTGCAGTGCTGGCTGGGGAGGAATGAACGGCAGGCTGCTTTGGTGCTGCATTGCCACCCAGGGTCTTAGGGTGCCTGAAGTTCCTTATAGTTCTCAGCCTACTGGGCTGAGTGTGCCAGGATGATTTTGTCCACCTGTTAAACCCTTGTCCCTTTAAGACTTTTAAAGCACCCACTTTTCTTTTGTCCCAGGACAACCAGTTGTGGGAACCTGTTCACAGTCTTAAGTTTCGGATTTTGCTTTTCTATTCCTCTAATATCCAGCACACCATGCAATGTGTGTCTGTGCTCCCGGTGCAGATTCCTAGGGCTGGTTATTTAGCAGTCCTGTGCTTCCACTCCCTCCCCACTCTGATTCTTTTCCTCCCGCCGGTGGGCTGGAGTGGGGGGAGTGCTTGGGTCCTGCTGGGTCACGGCTTTGTATCTTCCCCTTTTCATGAGATGCTGAGTTCTTGCAGATGTAGATTTAGACTGGCTGTTATATTGTATCTTCTGGTCTCACTTTTAGGAATAGTTGTATTTGCTGTATTTTCAAAATATATATGGTTTTGGTGGAGATTTCTGCCACCCTTCTCACACTGCCATCTTGAGAATCTCTTCTGCCCATTTGTAGGCAAGGTTTGCCCAGGATGTGATTCATCCCTTGCTTTTAATTGCTACACATTTTTACCATTTGGTTAATGGCAGGCTGGGAACTACAGGCTAAGGCCATAGGGCAGCCCAGAAACCATGTGCTATGATCACAGCAGCATGTATCTCCAAATGGGCCACAGTTCCTGCCTGTCCTCCCCACTGACTTTCGGACCGGAGCTTGCAGAGGAGCAGTGAGGGCAGGTGGGCGGGTGGGGTCCACGCACTTCTGTTGTAAGCTGCAACTTTTATTGTTGTGTGGTTATTTCAGGGAGAAACAGCACTGAAGGACTGGTCAAAAAGCCAAAGCAGAGTCAGTGGAAGGAGAAGCAGTAGAGCAGGGGCAGGGTGCAGAGCCTTCCTGTAAAGATCAATGGCAGGCACTGCCTGCTGGCCTGGTTGGACCAGGCAGGGTCAGGAAGCACCTGGACGCACCAGGCCACCCGAGGCAGGGAAGTGGGAGTACCAGGCCAGCGCCGGGTTCACCTGCAGACTGCCACCAACCCTGAACTTGGCCATGCATCAGCCGGTCAAGCCCACAAGTGAAGCAGCCTCGTCTGCCACTGATGGGGAGAGGGGTCCCCGTCACTGTCATTGCTGGAGGGCTTGGCCTCCTACCCATGCCCCTGATGGCTGGAGGGCATGGGCACTGTCTTGTACAGGGGCTGGGGGTCCCCAAAGTAAAAATAACTGGGAAGTCATGACTGGGAGCAGCACGGACCCCACTAGCTCACAGGCTCTCGGGTGCAGGAGGGTGCCATATGGCAGCCAATCAGACCTGGTCATGGGGTCCAGCCCCAGCTGCTGTGACTTTCTTCCCTGCCCCAGCCACCTTCTGGGAGAACTGGCGATCATAGAAATGCACCGAACCCACAGACTTCTGTTCTACCTTATATATTCATTTGTTCTCGTGGGCTCACCTGGGAATGTCTTTAATGAGCCTTTCAGTGAATGCTCCTGACTGACACAAAGTGGGCAGCCCAGACCTTGGTGCTTGCAGGGAAGACCTTCCAGGCTCTTCTATAATTAGAAGCCAGTCAAATCAGAGAAACCCTTCGCTTCATTTTTGGAAGGCCTGCACGGCTGCAGCCCTCCTCCGGGGGACCCTCCACCCCACTGCAGACTTTGGGAACCTCTGCTACCTGCCATCCCTAAGAAAAGGCAGGACTGCCAGGCTCAGGCACTGCTTCCTACACTCCCTTGCACCATACCCTCCCCGCCCTGGAGCTGCATGCAGGCCAGCCTGCTGGCTCCCACCTACCCCAGCTTGCCCCATTGCTAGAAGGAGAACACCCTGAGGCCACTGCTAGGGTTCCAGGTGCTTTATTCTTGCCTTAGTCCATCCATTCAGTGCTATTCAGGCATGGCTCTGAGTTGCAAGACAGTGTGCTAGAAGGTGGGAAAGGCAGCTCTGTGTCTGCAAGAGGTGGGATCCTAACCCTTCCCCAAAGGCCACCTGATTTATTTGCCAGGCGAGAAATAACTCCAGGGTAAGCACTCCAACAGGGGATAGATCCAGGTGGCCCGAGGGTCCCACCCACATCCCCCAGGGTCCCTAAGTGGCTCTCCTCTCCTGGGACCACCCCGGAAAAGTCCTTTCCTAGCTGGTCACAGAGCAGAGACAAGCTTCTTCCCAACTGGAATGTCCTCATTGCCTTTTCTCTGATCACGAAGCTCATCTGTGTGTGCTGGTAGGAACCATATAAAAGGCAGTGTTCCCATGCCCCTCCCTCAGTCCTTAGTCACCCCACGACCACTTCCCTCCCTGCCAGAAATCCTTGGTGGAGATGTGCTGGCCATTCCTGCACACCTGGCTCCTGTGCACACAGAAGCCACCCTGACAGCATGGCCCGGAGCCACTCGTGGTTCCCTCTCGCAGGACCCCCATGCAGTACTGCGCAGAACCCATGTCCCACTGGGCTCCTGTTCCTTGTAACGGCAAGCCAGCCGGACTGCCAAGGCTTTGCCCGGAGGCCATCCAGCCTCCTTCCAGGGGAGGCGCATTGGGACAGCTAGGAGGACACAAAGGGACTGGGTGCTGCTCCCTAGACGTCACTGAGCAAGGCCTGGACAAGAAGCTGAGTGACACTCCAGGAGTTCGCCTCTCCCACACCCCAGCCCTGCTCTCGGTGTCCCTGCCTCCTGAATAGACACCCTCTCTGCCTCCCACTCACCTTCCTCAGGTCTGACAGATCACCTTGTGGCTGCTTTTCCCCTTTAGGATAATGTGGGATAGAGACAACGTTCAGCGCTTTTCTCTCAAAAAAGTACAGCTCTCCTGTGTGCTGGGCTTCTACCCTAACAGTCTGTGTGTGGTCCTGGGAACTGGGGTTTCCGTGACCAGGAGCCAGAGGAGCAGGGTGCACATTCATGGCCGCTTGCTGAGGTGCAGTCTGACTTCTGGTCTATATCAGTGGTTGATTCTGGAAGGTTCCTTATACAACCCAGCCTTTAGAAGAGGGCATGCTGTTTTGCCACAAATTCACCACCAGTGTCAAAGCAAGACAGCCATGATGCCAAGTGTGGCAGCTGAGGGATTTAGGTGCCCACATTGTCATTGGAAAATCCAATCCAGGGAGGTCTCCCTGTGGCTAGTTAAGCCCTCAACCCTGGAGATAGTTCTTGACTCTGGTCAAGAAAGAATTCACAGTCAGGTGTGAGCAAACAGGAGTTTATTAAAGTGAAAGTACACACTCAAGGGGGGAGTGCAGGTGTGCTCAAGAGGCGAGCAGCACGGGTGTCATGGTTTGGGGTTTAAAAGTGTCTGATTAACTATGGGGTGAATATTCACAGGTGCTGGGGTGGGTACTTGGTCTAACGGGCTGGGTTGCACATGCCTGACAAGGGAAAGAGAAAATGTTTCCTCCTAAGAGGAAATAGACTTGGTAGGCAGACTGTGGGGAATTTATTTTGGAATGTGCCGGTCTGCAAGCATCCTGTTATTTTGTACCCGTCGTATTGAACCCTGTTACTTTGCACTTTGCAAGCATCTGTTGTCCCATACCCTCTGATTTGGACCCTGAGTCTCTCTGCTCCCTGTTCCAGCCTGCCTCAACATGACCACATCTTCTGTGTTCAGCCAGGCTCCCAGGTAAACTCGCTTTGAATTGGAAACACAGGGCTCCCATTTTGATCTGGGAAAAGTGAAGAACTCCACCTCCTCCTGCTACCAAGCTCACCCAGCCCACTGCTGACTCCAGGTGCAGAGACAGCAGGTGTTGGCATTGGCATCCAGGGAGGCTTTCTGCTGGGTAACAAGTGGGAGTTCTTAGAGCAGAATGACGGGCGAGGGGCACAGGACATATGATTGACTCACGCATGTCCTCTGACCGGTCAGTGATGAGGTAATGGGGGCTTACTTCTGGCATCTTGGTTCTCAGTCATCTGGGGCCCATGCTTGTAGCCAGCAGGTGGTCTGCCTGATGGGGTCTGAAGAATACGTGTGTTGAGTGGATCTGCACCTTTGGACGGGAACTAAGGGCTGTGTTAACGCATGTTCGCAGAGTCTGCTTTCCTTTCCTTGTTGCTGCATCCCCTCTGCACCCTATTCCATATCCTGAACCCCTAACTGCCTGTCAACACACCACCAAGGGAAGGAATTCTCTGTGATGTGTTAATGAGAAGTCTGAGAGGCTTTTCCCAAAGCAGATGTCTGCTCTGTGTCATTCCTTCAAAGCAGTGCCTTCATTTGGCTGCTGAGGAACGCATCTGAACAGCTGCCTCTGGCCCCCTCTGCCCGTTAATTGCTGTGTGACCATGGGAGGTCACTAGCCTCTCTTGGCTTCAGCTGTCTCAGCTTAAAATTAAGTGGTTAGACTCAAACATTCTCTGAGTGACTTTGATAGATGACCCATTCCAAACAGAGACGGGCAAGATCCTTCCAGGTGCTGCGAAGGCAGGAAGTTGGGTGGGGGGGTGGGGGATAGATTCTGAGTCTTGCCACTCTCCCCGGGGTCCCCCGGAGCCAGAGGATCAGGCCTAGCCCCATGCTCAACACTGTGGGTGTGAAGATAGCTTTCTCTGAGCAACCCATGCCTGGCCTCAGCAGTCGGCCCCCAGCGTGCTCTGGGGCTTTTCCCCAGGGATGGGAGTGGTGCTGGGAGCCATGGATGGGGCCTGTCCGAGGGGCCAGGGGCTCAGCTTGAAGTCTGCCTCCTCCCCTGCTCTGCCTGCAGGAGGCCCTGCACACCCAGTGGGGAGCAAGCAAGCCTGGTGGACCGGGCCCTCGGCCGGCCATTGCTGGCAGGGCCTCGGGCCCTACGGGCACATGGTGCTGATGAAGCGTGTCTTTCAGGCAGACCTGCAGGAGAGGATGGCCCACGTGGGAGGCCACAGACAGATGCCCTGGCTCCCTGTCCTCGTGGTAAGTGGGTCAGAGTGCCTGCCCAGAAACCGCTGCGGGGGCTCTTAGAGACGGCTCTGGTGGGGCTCTGTCCAGGCTGAGTCCCTCACCGGCCACACTGCCGGGGACAGTGCCTCAGCCTCCACAGCTGTGCAGTGGGGACTGTGGTAGCAGCACCCTCCTCCTGAGAGTGCAATGAGATAATGCCTATGAGGCACTGAGCAGCACCCTGGGTTCGGATAAGACCTCCAGCTGGTGGCTGCTCTGTGGGGCTTCATGGATAGAAACATCCTTAAGTACTCATCTGTGTTGGGATGTGCACAACCCCATGCCTGCGTGGCGAGCTCTCCTGGGGGCCATGCAGCTGAGAAAGACCCAGGCGTCCATCCCGGCTCCTGGCAGAGAAGCGCCCGTGGGAGCACTGCCTCATCCATGGCCATGGAGAGGTTCAAAGAGGGCCCTCATGGACGAAGGCTGGGAACAGGCCTTGAGGACTGGGTTGAGTCTGGGAGGCAGGAGGGAGGCCAGCTGGCGGGAGGCAGGGCTTCTCTGCTGACCCACAGTGGCCTTGGCACTGAGTGACCACTGGGCACCTTAGCAGGGCTCTCACCCCGGGGTTCCTTCCCAGACTCCTCAGTGTGCTGCCTCTGATGTGGGCATTTCCAAGGAGACATGAAGGCCGAAGGGACCCCTCTCTTGTGTCAGGTGTCCCTGATGTGCCCGGCCAGAGCAGAATACTCCAGCTGTGGTGAGAACGAGTACTACAACCAGACCACAGGACTGTGCCAGGAGTGTCCGCAGTGTGGGCCAGGCGAGGAGCCCTACCTGGTAAGGCCCCGCCTGCTCCCAGGCCACAGCCCCCAGGCCTGGCAAGCTTGTGTGGCTCTACATGGGGCCCCCATGCTCAGTGGGGCCCATGGTCCGTGGTCTTCAGATGTCGGGATGAAATGGTTCGAGCTGCAGAGTGCACATGCTTACCCAGTGGGCGGAAGGCCGAGCATTTGGAACAGGTTTCTCTGGAGTATTTTTTAGTATTTTTTTAAAGGACAATTACTTTCCTGCTGCATCTTGATGAAATGGGTTTCAGGTCACCTAAATCAGAAGCATGACTGAACTGCTCTCCAGGAGCGGCATACTGATGCCTGAGGGCCGCGTCTCCCATCTCCTTTGGGAAGAGCGGAGTATGTATATTCTGTTAGGTGTTAAGGATGGTGTCCTCAGCTTCAGTATGTGGGGCTCTTGCGGAAAGCTGGGAAGGTCGGCTGCCAAGGGCTACATCATGGCAAGACCTCACCTCTGCTGGGGAGTTTGTTCAGGACGCTCAGGAGAGGGGCTGCATCTGAAGCTCAGGAGCCCTGGGGAAAGGGGCTCAGAGGTGGGGACATGGGGTTTGCAGTCAGGACAGGTCAGGAAGCCAAGGCCCAGACAGAGAAGCTTCTGGACACAGCCAGTGCCCTCGATGCACAGTCATGGCAGTGTAGCTGCTGCCCTCACCTGTGCCCTCACCTGTGTCCTCTGTCCTCTTCCTCACCAGTCCTGTGGCTATGGCAGCAAAGATGAGGACTATGGCTGTGTTCCCTGCCCAGCAGAGAAGTTTTCCAAAGGAGGCTACCAGATATGCAGGCGCCACAAAGACTGTGAAGGCTTTTTCCGGGCCACCGTGCTGATGCCGGGGGATGTGGAGAATGATGCCGAGTGTGGGCCTTGTCTCCCTGGGTAAGCAGGACACTCTCTGCAGACAGCCCTGTGTGGCCCAGGGGGATGCTGGGAGCCTGCAGTGTAGACCATTCCTGCCATTTGTCCTGTTCTCCCAGGGTCAGCCTGGCAGGGGAGAGGGCACGCGTCCGGGGTCAGGAGGCATGGTGTCAGGGATGGCGAGTCTTGCCACCTTTCCCAGGACAGGCAGGCCACTGTGGCTCAGCAGCTGCATCTCTTAGTGGACACTCACCATGATGACATATCCTCACCACCCAAATTAAACAGGTCATAGAATACTTACATGAGAAAACACATATGGAATGCTTTGGAGGGAAGAAAACTAAAATTCCATATAAATGTATTATATTTACTATTTTTAGTATTCTAGAAAAAACTCAGGGTAAAAGCTACTAATAGGAATATGTGAGTCATATGGTACCTGTGATCCCACCACAGTTCTGTGATGTATCAAGTCTTCCCAAAAAGCAAAAGGAAAATGCAATTAACCTGAAAGAGAAAGACAAAATGTTCCCTCTTAGAGGCAGACACTTTAGCAAGCCCTGCTTGGGGCAGGATAGTACAGCTTTGACTCCCAGGAATGGCCAGGCACAGCTCCTGCTTCCGTGGCCCTGCAGTGGCCACAGCGTGTGATGTGGGCCATGATGGGGACGGTGGAGGTGGTGAGGGGGGCAGTGATGGGGATGGTGGAGGTGGTGGTGGAGGTGGAACAGGCATTGGCCATGGTAACAGCAGGAGGTTAAGGAGTACATTATAATTTACAGCCCATCTCTGCTCACGTGTTATCCCCCTGGATCACTGCATCTGATTAAAAGGTGAGAGAAAGTAAAAAGGATATACCCAGTGTGAGAACTGATGTCTCTAGAAAGGAAACAGAAAGACCAGTAAATTTAAGAATGCAGTTGGCCTTTGAACTACATGTGGGCTAGAGTGTCAAGCCCCTGTACAGTGGAAAATTCATATATAAGGTTTGACTCCCCAAAAGCTTAACTACTAATAGCCTGCTCTTGACTGGAAGCCTTATCGATAACATAAACAGTTGATTAACACATATTTTATATGTTATATTGTATCCTGTGTCTTACAGTAAAAGAAGCTAGAGAAAAGAAAATGTTTTGTTAAATTGTTGTAAATCTCCAAAAATTTTCCAATATATTTATTGGGAAAAAAACCCACATTTAGGTGGACCTGTACAGTTCAAACTCATGTTGTTCAAGGGTCAACTGCACACTCTTAAGTGCGTAACCCTGCAAAAGAAGGAGGTATTTTGTTGGCAAAACTGGACAGTTACATGTAAGAGAATGAAACTGGTTCATTGTCTAACCACACACACAAAAGTAAATTCGAAATGGATCAAAGACCTGAATATAAGTCATGAAACTATAAAACTCTTAGAAAAAACCATAGACAGAATTCCCTTGGACATAAACATGAGCAACTTTTTCATGAACATACCTCCCCAGGCAAGGTAAACAAAGGCAAAAAATGAACAAGTGGGACGATATCAAGTTGAAAAGCTTCTGTACAGCAAAGGACAGCATCAGTAGAACAAAAAGGCAGCCTACAGTATGGGAGAATATATTGATAAATGACATATCAGATAAAGGATTGACATCCAAAATATATAAAGAGCTCAGGCACCTCAACAAACAAAAAGCAAATAATCCAATTAAAAAATGGGCACAGGATCTGAACAGACACTTCTCCAAAGAAGAAATTCAGATGGCCAACAGGCACATGAAAAGATGCTCCACATCGCTAATCATCAGAGAAATGCAAATTAAAACCACAATGAGATATCAGCTCACATTGGTAATGATCGTCACCATCCAAAAGACAAACAACAACAAATATTGGCGAGGTTGTGGAGAAAGGGGAACCCTCCTACGCTGCTGGTGGGAATGTGAATTAGTTCAACCATTGTGGAAAGCAGTATGGAGGTTCCTCAAAAAACTAGAAATAAAAATACCATTTGATCCAGGAATTCCACTCCTAGAAATTTAGCTTAAGAATGTAGCACCCAGTTTGAAAAAGACAGATGCACCCCTATGTTTTTCGCAGCACTATTTACAATAGCCAAGAAATGGAAGCAACCTAAGTGTCCATCAGTAGATGAGTGGATAAAGAAGATGTGGTATATATACACAATGGAATATTATTCAGCCAGAAGAAGAAAACAAATCCTACCATTTGTAACAACATGGATGGAGCTAGAGGGTATTATGCTCAGTGAAATAAGCCAGGCAGAGAAAGGCAAGTACCAAATGATTTCACTCATATGTGGAGTATAAGAACAAGAACAAAGAAAAACTGAAGGAACAAAACAGCAGAAGACTCACAGAACCCAAGAATGGACTAACAGTTACCAAAGGGAAAGGGACTGGGGAGGATGGGTGGGAAGGGAGGGATAAGGGGAGTGGGGGAAGAAAAGGGGACATTATTATTAACATACATAATGTGGGGGGGGCACGGAGAGGGCTGTACAACACAGAAAAGACAAGTAGTGTGATTCTACAGCGTCTTACTACACTGATGGACAGTAACTGTAATGGGGCATGAGGAGCAGACTTGATGATGGGGGGAGTCTAGTAAACATAATGTTCCTCATATAATTGTAGATTAATAGTACCAAAATAAAAATTTTAAAAAATTGAATGTTTACAAAAACTTTAAAAAAAAAAAGGAGGAGGTATTTTGAGCTTGCAGAAATTGACCTTAGTTCAGATTTGTTACTGAGAAGCATCCCTCTCCCTGGCTTCCACCCCAGTTTCTACTGGTGATTGTCCCCACGACAGTCTCCTCAGCTTCCTGTCTTCAGTTCAGACTCGTCTCCTGAACTAGACCTACATCTGTAAGTATCTGCCATCCCACATCAAGGTCCCAGAGGAAAGCTCAGGGAACCTTACTATAGAACCTTGCTTTTCAGTATGCGAAAGGCAAGTTGGTATACCCAAGGTATTAAACTATTCTCTTGGAAAATATGATAAAAATCAAAGTTCTGTAGCTGGCAGTTTTATATTGAGTTGTTGTGGTTATTGTGTTAGAAGCAGCAGATTGACACATTCCCACCCAATGGTATGACATCCCTTCAAGGACTGCTCTGTGTAGACACGGTGCTTGAATGAGAGAAATTCAGCAGTTTTGTTAGACGGCTAGAACAAATCTCTGATAACTATACATCCTAGAACTTGGTTGGTCTTTACTGGTGTAGATGCATAATCCATGAAAGAAATACGGTCTCATGCATTAACTATAGACATGCCAAGCACATGCATACACAGCTTGCCATGCTCACTTTGGAAAGAAAACAGCGCTCTTTGCAAAACCTCAGCGTGTTTTGAGAGCATCTCCATGTGAGAATCTGGCCTGACATTCGCAACCTACATAACAACTCTGTGTTTACTTTAGTAAACCTCAATTAGGAGCCTGTAGGTAGATACTAGTGGGACACAGGAAGGAATGAGACAAGAAAGTCAGCGCTCACAACAGAGGGTGGTGGCACACGTGGTGTCACAGAGGTCGAGGATGACCCCCTCTGCGTGGTTGGGGGTATGTCATTGGGGTGGGTGGGGGCCAGTCAGGTGAAGAAGTAGGACGGAAGTGGAGATGTGCAAGCCAGAGACCAAAGGCGTAAGCAGCCAGAGAGGACGTGGACTGTGGGCTGGGTGGCTAAGCGGAAGGTGCACAGGTGGGGTGTGGACTAACTAGTGAGGGGCAGAAGCTGGATGGGAAGGGCGCTGGACGAGGGTGCTGAAGGCTCAGGTGTTCAGCATGGTGCTGAAGCAGGTCATTCACAGACATGTCAGCTTCTGTGGGGCACCATCGGCCATGCCTCCGGGACAGTCCTCTCAGCAGCTGTGAGGAAAGCATGCTTGGCAGGGAAAGGTGGCAGCCTGGGGACCAGGGATGAGGTGGAGGTGGTGAGGACTGGACAGCGTGGGAGCACAGGAGGCAGGGGGAGAGGAAGCATCTGAGGCTTTCTGGAAGACAGCAGTGAGTGGACTTGCAGGCCAAGAGCAGGGCCGGAGGGGCAGATACTGACATGGACTCTCAGACATGGCCTTGGCCAGAGTGTGGATCCTGAAGTCATCTGCCAAGACGTAGACTACAAGAGGAAGAGGACTTTTGGTGAGGAGGTGGAGGAAAGATGGGGGGGCATGTGTGGGACTTGGGGTGGTTGTCACATCCAGACCTAGATGTCCAACCCAGAGATAGACAGGCATGAAGCTCAGGCCGGATCTGGAACCATCCCTGCATTAATGGTGTGGGGGCCGCTAGTCTGGGTAGGCTGTTCCAGAGAGGCAGCTCGTTGGGGTGGGGGGGGGCACACAGCATTGCCGGCTGATCCGGCCACGGTGCGTGCACCCCCAGGGCCCAGCCGTGCCCATGCCCTAGATGATCCACAGGCAGGAGTGTGCACACTGAGCAGCCTGCCGCATTCTTGCATAGACCCACTGAGACTTTCTGGCTAGAAAGGACTGCCTGGACCAACGCAGTGAATGAATGATCCCATAGCAGCTGCCAGCTTGGTCACAAGAAAGGCTGCTCTGTGGAACAAAGACAGTTTGCTTGGTACCAGCACACTGACCACAGAGAAGTTTGAGGTTGAAATGGCCATGAGCTCCCTGCCTCTAGAAGGCTTCAAAGCAAAGAGAAGGACCGTCTCCCGTAGAGCCGGTGGGGAGCCTGTGTCTGTACTCTTAAAAGGCTCTTTCCAGCTCTGAAGTCTCGAGGGAGTCCCCCCTGCGCCCCAGGAGTAGGGGCCTGCTCACTGCACACGCTGTCATGGGCACCAGGACCCGCAGTCCTAGAGCCTTTCTGAGTGAAGGGAGACGCCACGCAGGAGGCGCCCTCAGCTCAGCAGCCACCTCGGTGTGTCCCCACACTGCTCCTCCGATGGGAAACGCGTGGCTGCACTGTGCCGTGACTTCAGAGAGGCTCCCGGCCCGAAGGCCACCAAAGCAGAGGCCCCAGCTGCATCTCAAGGGCCCCCTCCCCAGAGCCTGTCTCTAATGAGCCAATGCCTTGTCAGGGTCGGACCGGAGGCCTCTGCTTCCTATTTTACGCCCCGGGTTTAGAGAACGAATTGCAGCTCTCATGTGTACAGAGGAGGATTCCAGGCGTTTGGCAGGTGGTACTGTCAGCTCAATGAAAGGCTGTGTTCATTCCTGAGACCCTGTGGTTCCCAGGCGGCGGATGCAACCCGCCCCCTATTTGTCCTCCTGACGGCAGGTTGCCTCGGCCTCTCCTCCTGCGGTTTGGCAGGGCCTCTCTCCCCATTCTGTGCCCTCCCGTATGTCAGTTATGTGGCCCAGACGCCCGCTGAACAGTGCGCCGTGGGCGGGGCCTTCCTGTTGAGAAAGGCGTGTGGGAGGGACAGGAACAACACAACACGTGGGGAGAGGGCAGAGGGCAGGTTCATGACCCCTTGGGCCTTGCGCTGCCCTGGGAGAAGCACCTGCCGGCTGGACGCCACACCGTGGCCCCCCTGCACATAATGGTGTTCCGGGCCGGCAGGGGGCCTCCTGGGGGGCTTGGTGCTCAGGTTCGCATGCCAACATTGCAGACGGAAGGGGAGCCTCCAGGGCACAATGGCATCCATTACAGGCTTAGGAGGCCCGAGAAAAGGAGCTCTTTGGGGAAAATCTCTACACCGAGCGACTTGGCAGAAGTCATTTCCTACATGGAAGGTCCTAGAGGCCCCATTTAAACTGAGTCTTGTCTTAGTCTCTCACATTAATCCTTCCTTGAAGAATAGGAGAAAAAAATCTCTGGAAAAGTCAAAATACAGATCAAAGTGTAGGGAAGTTGGCCTTTACAGCAAGATAAAAGGACACAGTACTCCCTGGCTGAGCAGCAGGTCCCTAAATGGACACCCAGCTTCCAGGGGATGGAAATCTGTCAGATAAAAAGCTGAAGTATTGTTCCCCACTCCTGTCAGTCAGGACGAGAGGTACACCCTGGGTGCAGTTAGTCCTGGAGAGGGACTGACGGTTAATGCGGTTCTGTGCCACGGCCATGCTGGGCGAGGTGCGCGGTGAGCACACAGGCCGGTTCGGCGGTGCGGTTCTGTGATGCCCTCCCGGGAACGGCAGACTTTCTGTAACGGACAGCCTTTAATACATTGCACAGCTTGGTCCTGACACAGCACCAGGCAGCAGGCACAACTGCAGCTGCCCGGAGCTCCTGTAGGGGCCAGAGAGGCCTGGAGCGGGAAGAGGGTGTGGTGGGCCCCAGTGGTGCACGGAGCGTGGCGGTCCTGGACCACACTGGGCCCCTGGGCCCCAGCACATGCGTTCTACACCCCCAGGTGGCTGTGGATCTCCGTCTGAGACTGAGCTCAGCTCTCGTGTGAAACAGCACGGGCTCAGCTCTGGCTCTCCTTCTAGAAAAGGGAGAAAGGGTGCACAACATGCCCTTGGGGCTTTTGTTGTTTCAGCACTTTGAGCTTCTGTGGAGAAGAATCTGGTCTCATTCACCTGTGTTTCCAGCCATCATTTGCCTAGAACCTTCTGTCCTCAGAACCTAGCACAAGGTACTAGGAGTACAATCTGGGCAAGGCTGTCCCTGAGGGACTCCCAGGCCAGAGGTGACAGTCAGGGCCTGTGGAGAAGAGGGGCCTAAGGTGGAGAAGGAGGCGGTAACTAACGGCCCCGGGGTGGTAACACCAGATCTGGAGGAAGACAGCTGAGGGTGGCTGCCTGGCTGGCCTGGCACCTGTCACCCTTGGGAGGCCATGCACAGATGTGTAGCTCCTGGGAGCAGACACACTGGACCCCACCCCTCCCAGAGTTATCTCCTGCTTCCAGAGCACAAATGGCTTCTGGACGGTAGCAGAGTATCATTTGAGAGAGGCTTTTTCCAGAAGGCTTAACTGTGGGACTGGCTGTTGTAGCTTCTCTGAGGGGTGTTTTGAAATTGGTTAATTAATGTTTACCACTGATCTGAGGATAAAAGGCTCTGAGGAGGGGCAAGCAATTTTCATAATGTTACTGGTAATGGTCTAGCTCATGGTGCTGGAGTTCAATGACTCCCCCAGCAGTCCCGCACTGCACGGCTGCTTACACGGCCGCCAGGGGCCCTGGATGTGGGTGCATGGTTAGTAAATTACAAAGCAACCATGGAAAAATCCAATAGCAGAGAGGGATTCCTCTCTCAGATGTAATAAGGGAAAGCATTGGCACCAGCCCAGTCTACTTAATTGACTTCTCACGAGATGCATGGCTTCACAATCATGGCTGAATGTGTGTTTATGGAGAACCGGCATGTGCCAGGAGCAGTGCCAGAACCGGAGCTGGGCAGCTGGGGAGGCAGGGTGGGGGCCTGGGCAGATGCTGACCTACCATGGTGAAGCTCTGAGGGGCATTCTGAAACTTAGCATGGCCATGGGGCTGGCATATTGACATCAGGGAGCTCCAAAAACATACCAGGCTGTTGCTGGGAAAAAGGACTTCACATGCACCATGAATGATTTGTGCTTTCCTCTGACCGTGTGTAACCCCCGCATGAGCACTTGCACTCACTTGTGTGTCACTGGCCACATGCCTCCTGAGGAGGAAGTAAAGGGACCTCAGTTAGGACCGAGTGTGTCAGGCCAGCTCTCCGCCCTCTGTGTTGGCCGCTTGTCTGCTGCAGCCACATTGCTGGCTCAGTCTCGGTAAGCGTTCCAGGTGGTCTGGGGCAGTCCCAGTGTCCCAGGGGGGGCGGCATGTCTGCCAGTCACCCCAGCCTACAGGCCCTGCAGCAAGTACGTGCTGAGGGGGTACTCCTCCTCCTAGGGGGCTGCCAAGACTCCCAGAGAAGTCCACAGGATCCACATGGGGTGGGTATACATGGCCTCGTGGGGGGGAACATGGGTGAGAAGGGTTAGGACATGAACATTGAACATGCCCATCTGTGAAAGGAACCAACAGGGGAAAAGACTAAAAGAAAGGAGCAGTCTGGCCCAGTGTTGGAAAAGGACTGTCCCACTCCCAGCTCAGGACCCCCGAGGAAGCACAGTGGTTTTGTAGCTGCTAGCTCGCAGCTCCCGTGTCCCTGGGGTCTGCCTGGTTCCCACTTGGGTGGCGGGCATGCAGGGCTCAGCCCTGCTGCTGGCAGCGCCCGGCTTACCGCCTTGCCTCGTGTCGCCCTCCCCGCAGCTACTACATGCTGGAGAACAGACCCAGGAACATCTACGGTATGGTCTGCTACTCCTGCCTCCTGGCGCCCCCTGACACCAAGGAATGTGAGTGCTCCGCCCTGCCCTTCCCCATCACTGCTGCCTCTGCAGCCACATCCGGCGCTCAGCCAGTCCCAGTGCTCGTACCCAGGGAGTGCAGCAACAGTCCCCACAGCCCGGCCGCCAGGCAGCAGGCCCAGGAAGGCAGGTTTGCAGAGCTGAGCCATGAGTTGGGCTTGGGTCTGCCACTACTGCCCCGAACCAGCCCCGTAACCTCTGGGCCTCAGCCTTCTCGGCTAGAGTATGGGGCACTAAACTCCCAACTGTCCCGCGGGAATATTGGAAAACCAATGAAGTCACAGATACCAGGAATTTAGTAATTGGTTTAAACCAGAAGAGCCCAGGGAAATATGAGTGTCACCATTAATAAGAGAGAGCTCACAGAGCAGAGCAGCGGGGAGTCTCATGAGCTTAGGGCACCACCTGCTTCTTTCCTGTGTGCATTTTGGCTTGGCTTTCATGGCATTTGTTCATGAGGACAGCCAGGAACCTCTGCTCCAGAGAATGCATCAGGAGAGACACCTGGGAGGGTGGCTCAGTGGCTGGGGAGGCCCTGGGGGCCTGGCTGCTGGGCAGCAGTTGCTTGCCTGCTCCCCCTCCAGCCCTACCCCACTGGGTTTCCCCTCTGGCTCCCCCTAGGGCCCTGCCTGCCCCATTTTCTCATCAAATAAAATAAGGGACTGCCTGTCAAAAGCGCCAGGACAGGAAAGAGAGCAAGGGGAGGGGACTGGCTTGGCCCCATCAGCTGGGGAAGGGTCCTGGGCATAGGCAGTGGGGGGCCATTCCCTCCTTCCAAATCGCCCAAGTGGCTGAGCCAGGCAATAGATTTGCAGTTTTCCAAGCTGAGCTTTCCTACCCAGCCGTCTGGTGGTAATTCACAGGTCAGGGGGCCACCAGCAGGCCTGAGGTGTATCATCTGCCCCTGCCGACGCTGCTAGGTGGCCGAGAATTCTGGGATGAAGTCCTCACAGGAGGGTGGCAGACAGCCCTACCTGCTCAGGATAGGCTCTCTGCCCTTGAGGCCCTGACTGAAGGCTCACACACACCGAACGTGCTTGTCAGCGCACGGCCTCTCCACCGACCGCAAGCTGCCCAGAGGAGTGCCAGCCAGGGAGAAGCCCCTATCATCTGTCCAACAGCGAGGGGCCCCCACAGGGAAAGCCAGCAAAGCCCTAAGTCCTAGAGGCTTTGAAAACGAGTGCAATCCCCCAGCCCCCAGCTCTTAATCGCTTAACTGAAAGCCAGGAAGGCCTCAGAGCAGAGCGATAGAATCCAGCCATGAGGGAGGCCAGTGAGGAACCTGAGAGTCAGGCACGTCAGCAGCCCTGAGTGCCCATCTGAGGAGTGGGGAGCCCCAAGCAGCTAGCCTCGTGGGGCCACGAGCTGAATGGAGCCCTGCTTGGGCCTAGGGCTCAAATGCAGACATGAAAGTCGCCCTCCCCACCTCCGGGGTCCGCTCTAGTCCTCCAACCAGATACCGTTTTGGCTCAGGAGCAGCATAGAATGAGAAGGGCTGGTTAGGACCCCAGCCTCCATGAAGACCCAAACTCACAGGGCTGGTCTCACAGCGCCACACTGGAAAGCCTGGAACTCTGAAACCTCCGTTCACCAGGCCCCCGGTGTCATGGGCTGGCCACACAGGTCCCACCAGGCTGTGCCCATTCCTGAGCCCATGTCAGTGTCGAGAGCCCCTTTGCCCCACCCTGAGAAGTCCCTTTGGTTTCCACAGTGATGTTCCTGGGCCCTTGCTGTAAGAGGCTGATGCCTTAGGGGACTGTACAAGCCCACCGTCAAAGAGATGAAGGGATCCTGGGAGTGTGTGGCACAGACCACCCGCATACAGAGGTGGAGCAGAGGGTGATAGCTGGCCCCGGGCAGCCAGCTGTGCCAAGGAGCCTGACCAGGCGCCTGGCAGCTCATGTCAGAGGGCCTGTCCAGGAGCCGCAGCTGTCCTCCTGCGGGGGGCTTTACGGGTAGCACGACTGCTCCTCCATCCTTAAGTGGGTGGTGCTTCTGGGCTCTCTGTGGTGTAGGACTGCCCTTAGAGTGCCTGTGAGCTCATGGCATCATGCAGGACTGGCCTGACCCTGGCCCAGTAGGTCCAGGGCCTGAGGATGTACATCCCTGAGCAGCTCTGCAGTGAGAACTGCTGGTAGGGTAGAGGCTCTGGAGCCTCCCTGGGAGTTTAAATTCCTGGCTGACTTAGATGAGTTTTCTGACCCCTGAGCCTCAGCTCCCTTGCCTGCCAAAAGTGGGTGGCTTGTGCGGCCGGATAGAGCTGCACCCTGAGTGTAGCCCACACGCCGGCTGATGCCATGCACCCTGCAAGCAGCCATCTGAGAGGTGGAGGAGTGCTGTGCCCTTATTTTATAGCAGAAGAAGAACCTTCCAGTGTCGGGCCCTGCCAAGCAGCGAAGGGAAAGGGCAGCACGCCGTCATTGGTTCTGATGGGGAGGCTGTCCCCTCAGAGCAGGTGGGGGCTGGGGCTCAGCTGCGACAAGCCCGGCCCCTCAGCCCTGCTGCTTTCCTGAATGATTGGGAAAATAGCATCCTCTCTCTGTGCCCACGGGACTGAACGGTTGTGCCCCAAATTGTTCAGAAGTTGAAGGCACAGAGCAAATGTAAACGGAGACCCTTTCCTGAACCCCCAGAGCTCAGCAGGGAGATGCCACAGGGTACTCCCCTTTCCTGCCCGCGGCTCGCCTTCCTTCTGGATGCTGGGTGAGCAGACAGCCTCTCCTTCGGCCATTCTCCAGCTGAGTCAGGAGCAAGACCCGCTGGGGGCAGCCCACGCCCCGCAGTTGTGTTTGTTCCCCTCGCCGTCCTGAGAATGCATGCCTGGGTGCCTGTTGGAATCTGAGCTCTTGGGACGAAGAGGTGGCACAGTGGAATGTAGGGAACAACCCATGTAGCATAAGATTTAGGTCTCACGGAGTCCCCATTCCTGGCAAAGTTACTGGACTTTGTATCTCATTTTCCTCATCCACAAAATGGGGAGATTCAAGTGGCGGGGCTGAGATGCCATATGCAACGCCCGCTCCAGTGCCCCAAGGGCCGTGCACAGTGTGCTGGTGTCACTGCCACACCTGCCCTAGGCAGGCTGTCCTCACCCTGACCTCCTGGCCCAGCTCACAGGGACACAAGTGTCTCTCGGAGAGCCGGGGTTCAGGGAGATGGCACTGGGCCTGGCACCTACCCTATGCTCCGTCGTGCCATTCTTGTTATCACTTGTCAGTGACCATGAGCCCTGATCTGGGTGGGCCGCACGCCTTTGGGGGACCCCACTCAGGAGCGCATGGCAAGCTCCTGTGTGGACACCGTCATGTGTGCCCAACACAGAGCTAACTCGCGTGTGAGCTGGCTGGTTTCACATCCCCAAATGCTGGTTTCCGTCAGCTCCTAATGTGTTTCTCAACCTTGAATGTACACACTGCCACCACGGTCCTGTTAATAAACTGACTGCAATGCAGCAGGTCTGGGGCAAGTTCCAAGACTGAGTTTCTAGCCAGCTCTGCGGCTCCATGGTGAGCAACCAAGGTCTAGGGGCTCCACCCAGCGCCCCAGGCTCTACCCCTAGGTGTGTGGAGCCACCGTGCACCCTCGGCAGCTGTCACAGTCAAGTCATTCCTAAACAGGCAAACTGAGAAACATTTTCATCAAACAATCTATTCCAAGGAGGCCAGATGAACCCAAAATACACAGCACCTGTTGGAGCAGAGGGAAACCTCCCAGACATTAAATGCCTTTGTTAGTGCTGAGAACTGTGCCGTGCAGGCTCCTAGTGGGGAGGACATGTGTCCTAAGACCACCACCCCTCAGAGATAGACCTCTAGTCATGCAGCCTTCCTGCCCAGCCTTCTTCTCACCCCAGGACATGCTCAGAACAGAAAGTTTTTCTGACCAGCCCAGAGATCAGCCCACCCAGGACTGCAGCCCAGGGCTGTTCAGTTAGGGGCAATGTCCAGTAAATCAGGGTAGAGGCATGGGCAGGAGGGGCATGGGGTGAGGTGACATGTTCATTATGGACTTGCGGGAGCCTGCTTGTGGTGTTCGGTGATGTCATTGCTAACTGGCCCCACCCATCTGTGCAAAGGCATTTGCTGTGTGTGTGCTGCTGGACTGCTCTCATTGTCCCTTGGTAGACCACAGCCTGGGTGTATTTGTGTCCCCTGCCTATCCCCTTTCACCCAGTCTCAGTCAGCAAGCCGCAGCTGAAAGAGACAAAAAGAGAAAAAGATAACAAAGCCATAAAGAGACCCCATGGTTGTTTTATTTTCCTGATGACATAGCTTAAGCTCCATTAGTACCTTACCAAACAGACAGATTAGCTTCACTTTTTGTGCCCCATTTGCTCTTGAAAAGGAAACCACATTATGTTTGAAGCTGTGCCCCATGCTGCTTTTTCTCACTTGCCAGGATGAAGCTTTATGGGCTGCTTCCCAGCATGATGCAAATGGGGCTAGAGTCTGACGCCCACCCCATCAGGCTGGAAGGCTTGCAAGGGATCAGCATGTCTGTGGGTAGAAGGCAGGGCCTCCATCTCTGTTCTTTGCCCACCCCGGCACCTTCCCTGACAGGCCCTGGCCAGGTGAGAAGGTTAAATTAAAAAGCAGAGATTAATCCTGAGTTTGGGGGTAGGACAGGGCAAAGCTTCTCTTTATCCTCCAGAAAAGCCAAGAAATGTCTCTAGGCTCTGGACACCAACAGGGACCACACTCAGGGAACCACAGATGCAGGAAGACCTGGGCAGGGAGGAAGAAGCGATCCGTCCAGCTATCATCAGTGACCTGCCTCCTGCTACCACCCACCCTGCCCCACTTCCCATGCCAGCTGGCCGTCACAGGGAGGAAGGACGGCCCCCAGGGACACGAGCCAGGGGCCTGGTAACAACATGCCGCCTGTGCTTTGAGCAGGTCACCTCCACCCGTGGTACCCCATTCCACTGCTCAGCAGCTCCCTGCTTTGGGGGGAGAGCTGAGAAGCAGTCCCAGTGATCAGCCATTGGGGAGAAAGAAGGAAAGAAACAGGACCACAGAACTCATAGCAGCCTTGGAGGGAGGGACTGCCCTGTCCTCTGTGCAGTGATCAGGGCAGCCCGCCCACCTTGGAGCCAATCACAGGTGATTGAGACCAGGCAAGGGGCAGAGGCCAGGAGCTCCAGAGAAGTATAAAGGCCCTGGGCTCCTGAAGCAGCAAATCAGAGAGGAGCCGCTGCTGGTTCTGCGCATCCGACTTGGCTACAGGGTGTTTTACGCGATGTGGAAAACTGCCCGACTGTGGGCCAGGAGGGCCTTGCCAGTCCCCATCCTGGGCTCAGCGAGGGGGTGTCTGTCTTCCCACCACTCAGTGCTTCCAAACAGTGGGGTCTGTGGCCTGAAGAGCCTGCGTCTTTGCCACTTCTCAGGCCCAGCGACAGCTACCTTCCCCAATGAGCACGGCGCAGAGGGTGGTGCAGCCACTCCCAGGATTCATGTCCTGGCTTAAAGCAATGAAGCCTGTTAGTCCTGGCAGCCTCGCAATGAGCTGACCGGCATCCTGGCATGGGCTGGTCGCCTGCTGGGCTGCCGGGGGGACCAGTGCCCATTGATTCCAGGGAGGCTGGCTCACCTGGCCTTACTCAGGAGCATGCAAACCCACTTCACGGATTACTCCAGAACTGGTAGAGACAAAAACCAGACAGGACGAAACTTACCTGAAATGTGATCATTTTTATTCATTGCAAAACTCAAGTCTGGCCTAAAGGAAGACTGACCATCATGATGTCAACTTTTCTGTGCAAAGCATTTTTGTTTGTCTCACTGACTTGATGGATCATAAAATTACCTTCCATTTCCTCCCTGCTACGTGATGCTTTTTACATCGAAGGGGAGTTTTATGAATCACCGTTTTGAGGAAAGGCAGAAGTCGTCTCTGCTCTTAACAATTTGGTCACAACTCTAAAAAAGCCAATCATGGGAAAATCCTACAGGAAAATACACCAAAATGTCAAATTTAGACAGTGAGATTGTGGGTAATTCTTTTATTTTGTGCATGTGTGTTTTCCATTATACTGCTACACACACCTTTTCATCCCTGTGGATGGCATACATCACATATACTTTATCTTGGAAGCTGAGCTGGTAGTTCGCACACTCCCCCAGAGCTGTTTGCTTATTTGCTGAGTGTCTTCCCACTGAGAGGGCGTTCTGACCTCAGTGGGAGGCCAGCAAACACTTCCAAAGTGAAGGTGCTTCCCACTCCCATCCCCGCCTGAGTCCGGGGACCCAGAGTCCTGGGGGAGTGGGTGCTGTGGCCAGCATGGGGTCTGAAGGAGGGCTTCTGGCGCAACTCGGACTGTGCCCCTTGCAGGTGCGGGAGCCAGCCCAGGGGTCCCAGCCAACGTGCCCGATTCCTTGGGCAGCAGCACCCGGTCCCCTTTCCAGCATGCCCACAAAGGTAAGGGCCGCGGACGCTGGCAGCCCCCAAGAAGGCAGGCGGAATGGAGGCGACTGCAGGGAGATGGGGACTCCACGGGATGGCTGGGAGCCCTTCCCCCTAGCTTCTCCGATGGGGCTGTCGTGCCAGCACCCTACTCACCTGGGAGTGCTGATGTCTGCGAGGAGTGGAGCTGGGGTCTCCGAGGGAGCCCGGACCACGAGAACGAGCTGCTAAAGAAGCACTCCTGTTCCAGGCGGCAGGCATAGTGCTGGGCGCAGGCGGCCAGGGGCAGAGGCTTGGCTGCGCCTGCGCCACAGCAGCTCCGGGGCTGCCTCAGAGAGCCTGCCCACCTCTCAGTGTCAGGGTCCTTCGCAATGACTGTGCTTCACTCCCTAAACCCTTAGGGATGGCAGAATCAAGGGGGACCACCCCCCAGGTCCACAGTTGAGAACACAGCCTCATGCCTTTAATTCCTTCGTTATCTAAGGCACAGGCCTCGGTGGGGCTGGAGGATGTCAGAATCCCTGGGTGCCCTGAGCACACCAGCCCCGCTGTCACTCCCCAGACCTGACGCTTAGGCAGTCACCCCTAGGGAGCGTCAGAGTAGGAAGGTTCTGCTAGGAAGTATGAATCTTATTCCCACCGGGACTCAGGAGAAGTGGCACACAACACCGAATATTAGACATTTGTAATCATCCACACCTGGCAGCTATATGATGACACCCCAGGTGACGGCCTGAGGCCGGCCCTGCAGACACCCAGCTGCCGACCGGGTGGCCTCCCTCAGGCAGCGCCTGGTGCCTTTCATGCTGGCCCTTTTCCATGTGAGCGGTGGCTAACCAGGACCCTGCTTCAGGAGAACAGGACTCCAATTTGCATATTTCAGAGAAGTAGAGCGACCATCAGGGCCTTCTACACGGCAACAGCAGACATTCGGGAAATGGGCAATTTCCCTGGGGCAAAGACTGCCTCGGGGGTGTCAGCCTGGGCTCCATCTTTGCCCTGGGACTCTCACTATCACACTTAGGTTAAACTGCTTGAAACACAAAGATAGGGCCAAATCCAGAATAACATCTCTCACTCTCACAGGTGATATTGCATCCTGGCTTTTGCCTGGAAAAAACTTGGTTGGAACTGTGTTCAGGACACTTTCTCCCAGGCCCCTCCTCCTCTCTACAACCCACATTGCTCCCCCAAAGTCCCAAGAGCAGGCACCCCAGGAACAATGGAGTGAACCCAAACCATGCACCCTGTGCAAGTCTGGATGGGCCTCGGTTGAGACCAGCAAGGGCAGCTCGGGGGGCCCTGACACGGTGGTCAGAGCATGCTTGCAGGCCTTGGTTCTCAGACTAAGCCAGTATGCTGGATTCCGAGAGTCCCCTGGCAGTGTCCCTGGGGTGGCTGGGTCCTTGAGGAGGGGGGCCCTGCCTGCCTGCAGTTCCTGGGGGTCCCTGGAGCCCTCAATTGTTGCCTTCTTTCCCCAACCCTGGCAGAGCTCTCAGGCCAAGGGCACCTGGCCACAGCCCTCATCATCGCCATGTCCACCATCTTCATGATGGCCGTCGCCATAGTCCTCATAATCATGTTCTACATCACAAGGACGAAGCCTCCTGCCCCAGGTGACTTCCGCCCACACCCCTTCCTGCCCTGCACCCTTCGCCTCTGTGGCTCCGTCCCCTCGCCCTGCTGGTGAGCTGGCCTGCTCACGCCCTGTTCTTCCTGCCAGCCTGCTGCACCAGCCACCCAGGGAAGAGCGTGGAAACCCGAGTGAGCCAGGAAGAGGAGAAGAAAGAGGCCCAAGGTCAGCACACAGAGCGCCCCAAGCGTGTGTCCGTCTCTGTCACCACCGCCGGGCAGCCTGCCCTCCTAGGTGCTCGCGCCCCATGCCCTGGGGATGTGGCCACAGCAAGGCATGTGGGTGCCCACGTTGCACTTCGTCCTTGGGGCGCCGTGGCTTGGTGACCAGGCAGGTGTGCTGAGGGGAAGCGAACAGGGAAGGGCAAGCTCGGAGCTGAGCCCACTCTGACTCTTCCCCTCTGGCCCTCTCGTTTACCCACAGACAGTGTGGTGATTTTCTCTGAGAAGGACGAATTCGAGAAGCTGACAGCAGCCCCAGCAAAGGCTGTCAAGAAGTAAGTCGAGCTGAGGCAGCCCCTTTCAGTGGAGCAGCCCCAGTCCCAGGCTGCAGTCAGGTGCCCTCTGGGGTCCTGAGCAGGAAAGGGAGTGGGGCACTCCAGGCAGGAAGTGCGCCAAGGAGCCTGGTGACTTCCTGGAGGTGGTGTGGGATGGCTCCAGAGGGCGCAGGGGTCCAGGCCTGCATCAGGCCTCAGCCTCACCCCTGACCTGAAGTAGGGACCAGGCAGCATGAGGGCCAGCAGTTAACACCGGGCCAGGCCTGCTCCCCTCTGCCAGGGCCAGGCCCCCCGGACCTTCCTCTTCACCGCCTGCCTTCCATGTGCAGGCCCCAGAGCTTCCTGTGCCCGTTCTCCACAGTGACGTGACACCACGAGTGCCACAGCTGGAAGGACACATGTGAAACCCGCATGTGCACCTCCCCGAGCCCTGCCAGCAAGGGCTAAGATTTTCCTGTTCATAGGAAGCCAAGGCCTGGAAGCTGTCACATGCTTGAAGTCACGTGCTCAGTGAGCAGCCGGGCAGGGCGCCCAGTGCAGCCCATTTGACTCTGTGCTCTGCAGGCTCTGGGCCAACCACCAACACATGGTGAAGTAAGGACTCCTAAGGAAGAGTTTTTACATGAAGTTTCTACCCTATTTACCACACACTGGATGTGGAATCAGCCCAAACTTTATAATACAGGATAGAGGGAAGTTAACTTGCCATTTGCCCCCTAGATGGTCACCTGGACTTGGTCCTCCTGCTTAGGTTCCAAATACCTACCTCATGGCATTGGTCCCCTGCCAGGCCTCTGCCCTACGGTCAGGTGGCAACACAGAAGCCAGAAGATGCCCCTCCACTGGTGCAGGACCCCCTCACCTGGCCCTGCCTGGGATCCTTCCATGGTGCCTGGACACACCAGCCTTTCCTGTTTGGTAGTGATCATGAATCCAGATGTTTGTGGGGAGCTTTGACATTTGTAAGGCACTTCTAAACATGTTCCTGCATTTGGAAAATGCCAGCATTTTTCAATACTCCTGAGACAAGGGCAGGAAGCAAACTTCAGTCACGCTGTCTTCGCATGCTGGGAAAGAAAAGCAGGTTGTGAGCATTCCCCTCAGCAGCCCTTAGAGAGCAGTATTTCCTGAAGTGCCTCTGGCCGCTGATCATTTTCCAAATCCCTGATAATTCATGCTCTAAGCAACTCTGTGTGCCTTGAATAGGCTGCACCCTGTCCCAGGCTGCTGTCCTGGGGCCGAGGCCAGGCTGGGCTCACCACTGTGCCCTTCCATGTCCTGTGGCAGCCTGTCCTCTGTCCCTCCAGCCTTCTCTCATTCCCAAAGTAGAAACAAAGTTGCTCAAAGAGCAGGGATGTGTCCTGTGACTTAAGTTTCATCCAAAGATTGAGAGAAAATTGGGGGATCTGACTTGGAAAAATAGTACTCATCTCGTACACAAATATTAAATAAGTTAAAACCTGACGATTGTGCTATGTAAGACAAGTCCCTCCGCCTGCTCTCAGGTCTTAGGGGAAGGATGTGCGGCTGCCCAGTGGTCTCCAGGGACAGCAGAGCTTTGTGCCTTGCCTGCTGTCTGCTGGGGACAGCGGCAGGCCAGCCAGCTCCCTCTGAGGCCCTGAGACTTTCTGGGCCTCCCCAACCCTTCTTCTGTTGGTGCCATCCTGCCTCTAGGGTTGCATTTGAATGTAGGCTTCATTATTGTTATCCAGTTGCCAGCAAATATAATTCTTAATAAGACTGCAGCTAAACCACAGAATGTTGCTTTTCATACACTTAGAATGACTCGGAGAGTTCAAGCTCCAATCCACATGTGCCGAGGGCCATGGACAGTGAGCCCCCTGCCTTCCTGTGGGATTTCCAAAAGCCCCTCCCACCCATGACCACACAGTTCAGCCAGGTCACCCCTAGTTACCTAGCCAAGTCCCCAGACACAGGTTCTGTTCAGCTTTGTTTCAGTCATTCCAGAGAGCTTGCATGGCTGCAGCCTGGCCATGTAAACTTTTTTGCTAAGTGAAGACACCAGGCTGAATTTGATGCTTATCTAGATTAAATGTAGGAAGAGCTTCATAATCAGAAAACCTCAGCGGAGCCCGGCAGGGCTGGAGAGATGCATGGAGGCTGTTCTCAACTCACTGGCACCTCCATGACCCTGAGGATCTGGCAGGGTACCTTGTGGTGCTGTCACACAGCACCTGTGGGCCGCCCCGCACTGGGTCACTTGTTTTGAAAAGAGCAGAGAGCAGGGCGTGTGCTTCTCAGCTCGTGTTCCCATGCCTTGTGTGCATGAACTGCTCAGGAAGAGCATGAGGGACAGGCCACTGAGTCCTGATGGTCCCCAGCATGGTCCTATTAACAGACACCCTCTTGTTTCCACAGTGAGAATGACGCCTCGTCTGAGAACGAGCAGCTGCTGGGCAGGAGCATGGACAGTGATGAGGAGCCCGCCCCCGACAAGCAGGGCTCCCCTGAGCTGTGCCTGCTGTCGCTGGTGCACCTGGCCAGGGAGAAGCCAGCCACCACCACCAAGACGGCCGGGGTGAGGTCTGGCAGGCCATGCACACTGGGCTCAGGCATCCCACTTATCTTGGGATAAGTGCCGGGGGAGGGGGTGGCATTTCTTCCACAGGCCTAACACAGGAGCCTAGAGGAAGTGGCAGGTTTAAAACAAGATATTAAAAAAATAGAAAACTATTTCCCTTACTATATAGGTTTATAGAAGAAAATGAGAGGAATGATAAGCAAAGAGGTAATGGTTAATTGCCCAGAATGCCATACTGGTATACATCCCACCAAATATGTGTATCTGGTGTACACACACACACAGTAGGCATTTTTCATATGACAGTGGTCCACGTGGCTGGTCACGTAAAGCAGGCACCTTGGAACGAGCCCTGGGGCATGTGCAAAGATGAGCACAGGCCTGCCCTGCTGGAGAATGGTCACACTGTCAGCTGTTGCTAGGTAGCACTGCTCATGGTAAACCTGTCCAGCTGGGAAGCTGGACCTGGCCTGGGTCCTGATGGGATGCCAAGCTGGAGGATCTCTGCAAAGGGCCTGGCACTGCCGGAAGCCTGAAGCTCCCATAGGGCACAGGGCCTTCCCAGGGCTGCTTCTGCACCTGTTTGGCGAGGGCCTCACACTCTGGGGAGAAGGTGGCCCTGCTCAGCTCTGTGCACTGCGGCAGGAGCAGCAACAGCTCCCAGCTGCCCCAACAGCCCCCAGCTGCCCCAACAGCCAGCCTCGGAAGCCTCCGGTGGTCTCCGAGTGCACGCCCAGCGGAGCCTCAAGCCCTCTGGAGAGCCCAGAGGGGAGGCCCTCTCCCTGAGAATCATGGTGGAGATGGTGTGAGGGCTCAGTGCAACCTTCCTGGTGGGAAGTCCGGGCAACAACTGGCCTGACATAGATGGCTTGGTTCTTGGTTTGCCACCTCTGTCTCCCTTCCTGAACATTCTCTTTTCTCATAGATTCAAAGTCGAAGGAAAAAGATATTGGATGTGTACACCAATGTGTGTGGAGTGGTTGAAGGTGAGCACAGAGACACTGCTCGATGACACCCCACCCCAGGTTTCCCAAGGGTCAGCCCCAGCTGGCTGCTGGGAGGCGCCTTAGGATGGAGGCCCGGTGCTCCTGGGAGGGGCAAAGGAGGTCGCCCACCCTGCGTGTCATGTCCGTATCGGGAGGCAGTTCAGCTGCCAGCTGTTTGAACACATTTCCACAGCACATGCCGTGGCCCTTCCCTCCAGGACACTCAGCCCTCAGCCCCGTGCAGAACCTGCCTGGGGACACGTGAGGTCAGGACTCCCAGGTGCTAGGCTGCGAGTCCCCTCCTCAGGCATTACCATCTTAGAAATCTTGGACAGTCGGTTGCTCACTGGTAACTCGTGTGTCCCTAGAAGTTCATGGTGTGTCCCCTTCGTGAAGATGCCTCCCGAGAAAGCAGTCAGCCTGTCTTACCATCACTGTGGTATGAGAATGGGAGGGTCAAGGCAGCAGGACTAAGAATATAAACTTTTCTATCTGAAGCAATCCACACCCCATTGTCTTCCAGATCCAGTCGCTAAATTACCTTCTATCTCCAGGAGATAGAAACCCTCGTCACTGATGTTGGCCCACTTCGCCTGCCTTGTCCAGTGGCCGGCCTCTGGTCCGTCAGGGTCCTTCCAGGCACATCCCTGTCAGCTCCTCAGCAGGCCTGGGGCCTGGCGCCCTCTCTTCTCCCTGTGCAGGCCCAGCCCTGCAACCTGAGCCTGGAACAGGCCTTCTGGTGAGATGGTATCATTGGCCAGAAATAACTCTTCTGAAGGCAAGTTCCAGGGTCCAGGAAATGTACCTGGCTGCCTGCTGGCAGGTAGCACCTCTCTCTCGATGCACATGCTCCAGGATTAGCCTGCCTACCAAGCGTGGTGCGGCCGGGCCTGCAGCTGTCTAGTGGAGGCTCTTCTGTCGGCCTGGACCTCTTTTCTCTGTTCCAAGGGATGTCTTAGCTTTAAGAGCCCACACCCTTAGGACAGCGGCTTTCAAATTAATCTTAGGAACTCCACAGGAAAGAGGGGCCTGCCAGTGAGAGTGGGTGGGGAAGGACCACTGTCTGGCTGCCCAGGTGTGAGGTGTGCCTCATAACCTCAAGGTGATGTGCACAGAGCCAAGGCTGAGAACCTCAGACTAGCGGTGCCCAGCCACCCTGCCTGCTCCACGGTGCAATGTCTGGGGTTAGAATCCCAGGCATCAATATATCCTTTTGTTTTGTTTTTAAATGAACATTTAATTCTGAGGTTGTTGTAGATTCCCAACGAGCAGTTAGAGACACTGCCTCTTAGCCTTTACTCAGTTCCTCCCAGTGGTAAAATCTTGCCAAACATCCCTAAAAGTCACAACCAGGGCACTGACACTGCCACACCACTCCATCTCTGGCCCTCCTGCTGCCCTTTTAAAGCCACATCCACTTCCCCCACCCCACCCTCTCCTTAGCTGGACAACCACTTATCTGCTCCTCATTCTCGTAATTGTGTCATTTCAAGGATGTTATGGAAGTGCAGTTGGGCATGTGTAACCTCCTGCAAAGGGCTTTTTCATACAGTGTGATTCACTGGAGGTTCACACAGGGTGTTGCACATATGGGAGTGTGTCCCTGTCTTCCTTTGTGGTAGCCCATGTTAAGGAGGTACCACCATTTGTTTAATCATTCATCCCTTTTAGAACATCTTGGTTTCCAGTTTGGGGCTATTATGGAGATGAAACTCATGAGTAGTCATGTGCAGGATTTTATGTGAACAGAAGTCATTTCTCTGGAATAAATGCCTGGGAATACAATTATTGGATCATATGGTAGTTGCATTTTTAGAGTTTTAAAAAACTGCCAAACTGTTTCCCAAAGTGGCCGTACAGTATACCTTCCCACCAGCTATGGATGAATGGTACAGTTTCTCCACTTCTTCGCCAGCATTTGGTGGTGTTACTATTTTTTATTTTAGTTATTTTGATAGATGTGTTCTGATCTCTCATTGTGGTTTTAATTTGCATTTTCCTGATGTTTGAACATCTTTGCGTGTGCTTACTTGCCATCCGTATGTCCCCTTCAGTGAATGTTCTTCTTTTGTCCATTTTCCAGTTGGGCTGCATAATTTTTTTGCTGTTGAATTTTTGAGTTTTTAAAGTTCCAGATAGTAGTCCTGTGATGTGATTTGCACACATTTTCTCCACTTTGTAGCTTGTTTTTTCATTCTCTTAATAGGGTCTTTCATGGAGCAGAGTTTTAAAGTTCAGTAAGTCAGACTTACCAAGTTTCCTTTTACAGATCCCAAAGATTTTTCCTTTTGTTTCTAAGTTTCATAGTTTATGTTTTGCATTTCAGTCCCTGATCAGTCGGAGTTAATTTTATATAAGATATGAGACTTAGGCTGAGATTCATTTTTTGCCTCTGGAAGTAATTTGCTGCAGCACCATTTGCTGAGAGGCTATCTTCCCTCCATTGAATTGCGTATTTGTCAGAAATCAACTCAGGTGTGTGGGTGCCGGTCTGTTCTCTGAGCTCTGTTGTGTCGCACTGATCATGTGTCTGGTCCTCTAACACCGCTGTCCCAATTACTATTGTATATGGTTCAGTCCTGACGTCAGATAGGCTGACTGCTCCCACTTTTCTTTCTCTTCAGAATTATTCTAGCTATTATAGTTCTTTTGCCTCCACATATAAATTTTAGGATACCTTCCCCTATATCTACAAAATATTTTGCTGGATTTTGATAGGAATTACCTCAAACCTGTATACTAAGGTTTGGGGAAATTTGACATTTTTACTAAGTATTCTAATCCATGAAAATAGTAGGTCTCTTCTTATTTAGATTTTCTTTGATTTCTTTCATCAGCATTATGTAGTTTCAGAATGCAAGTCCTGTATATATTTTGCCAGATTAATACCCAAATTTTCATTTGTGTTTTGAATAATTGTTAATGAATTTTAATTTCAGTGTCTATTAATTGTTAGCATACAGAAATATAAGTGATTTTTGTATGTTTATCTTGTATCATGACCTTGCCAAACTCACTTATAAGGTCTATGAGTAATGTAGATTTCTTAAGATTTTATACAAAGATGATCACATTAGCAAGTGGGGATACTTTTATCCAACCTGTCTGCCATTTCTTGATTTATTGTGCTGGCTATGACTTTCAGCACTGTGTCAAATAAGAGAGATCAAAGCAGAAATCCCTGCCTTCGTTCTGATCCCAAAGTAAAAGCACTCGGTTTTTCACATTCCTAGGTTTTTTGCAGATATTACACATTAATTTTGTGAACTGATTACATTAATTTTTAAATATTGAATATTGCATCTCTGGAATAAAGCTCACTTGTGGTGTATAATTCTTTTTATATGTTGTTGATCATGTTTGCTAAAATTTTGTTAAGGATTTTGCATCTATATTCATGAGGAATAGTGGTAATTTTGTTTTTTCGTGCTGTCTTTATCTGGTTTTGGCATCAAGCTAATACTAGCTTCATAGAGTAAGTTGGAGAGTCTTTCCTCCTTTTCTACTTTCCAGAAGAAATTATATAGAATTGGCATTAATTCTTCTTTGAATGTTTGGTAGAGTTCTCCAGTGAGACTATATGGGTATAGACATTTCTTTTTGAGAGATTTTTAAAATTACAAATTATGTTTCTTTAATAGTTATAAGGCTATGCAAATAATCTATTTCATATTGAGTGAGTTGTGGTAGTTTATGCTTTTTGTCAAATGCGTGTGTGTACAGTTGCTTGCAGTATTGCTGTAGCATCTTTTTGTTTCTGCAGGGTCTGTATCCCCTTTTACATTACTGCATGTTGGTAATTTGTGTCTTTATTTTTCCTTTTTCAATCTTACTAGAGATTTGTCTATTTTATTGATCTTTTCAAAGAACTGGTCTTTTCATGTTTATTGTTTTTCTCTTTTCAAGTTCTTTGATTACTGCCTTTATCTTCATTATATCATTCCTTCTGTTTGCTTTGGGTTTATTTTGCTAAACTTTTTCTGGGTGCTTGAGTAATTGTTTGTGATCCAAATATCCCTCTCAGTTGCTATTTTAACTGTGTCTACAAGTTTTGATATTTTGTATTTTCATTTTTTTAATTTCCCTTGAAATTTTTCTAAATCAATTTCATTCATTTTTAAAATTTCCCATGGATAATTTAGAAATGTGTTGTGTAGTCCTTAAACCACACCAAGCGCATTCACAGTAGTGTCAGCCTGCTGCAGCATGGAGCTCCCGCAGTGCAGTGGAGGCGGGCACTGTGCAGTCCCTCCACCCAGTGGCTCTCCTCATGGTGGGAGGCAGCACACAGAGCAGGAAGTGAGCTGGTGACTTTCCCCTGCCTGGAAAGCACCAGCAGCCTTTGGCTCTGGAACCTCCCTGAACAATGATGACCCCACATCTTTTCTCCCTCCTCCCATACATACAAATCAATATTTTTAGGAAAGAAAGTCAAAGGAACTGGCAGAAACCTAATCAAGGTCTGAAAACAGTGTTTCTCCACTTGAAAAATAAACCATGTCTTTAAATACATTAACTTCTTGGGGAAATAAATGTAATGAACCAAATTCAATCCCTACCACCCCACCCCCAAAAGTGTGTTGTTTAATTTGCAAGTGTGTGCTTTTCCTGTTATCTTTCTGTTACTGATTATATAGTTTGATTCCACCGTGGTCTGTCACTGTATAATTTTGATTCTTTTAAATTCTTCTGTTGAAGTTTAAGACTTACTAGTGAAAAGAATGTATATTCTGTTTCTCTTGGATGGAGTGTCCCATGAATGTCAATTGGATTCTGTTGGTTGACAGTGCTCTTGAGGATTAATTATTCCTTTAATTACTGAGGGGGGAGGTATGAAAGTCTCTAAGTGTACTTGTGGATTTGTCTGTTTCTCCTTTCAGTTCTGTCGCTTTTTGCTTCAGATATTTTGGAGCTCTGTGGTTTGATGCTTACACATTTAGGATTTCTTTGTCTTCTTAGTGGATTGACCCCTTTATCATTAGATAATGTCCCTCTCTGTCTCTGGGAATTTCGTTTGTTCTGAAGTCTACTTTATCTGATATGACAGCCACTTCTGCTTCTTTTTTATTAAAGTTTACAAGATATATCTTTTCCATTCTTCTTTTTACATTCAACCTGCCCAACATGAGTTTCTTATAGATACAAGCTCTTTTAGTTGGCAGTTAAGCTATTTACATTTAATGTAGCTATTGACATGTTAGGTTTTAAGACTAGTATTTTATTTTTTGTTTACTGTTTGTTGTCTCTGTTTTCATTTCTCTATTTTATTTTTCCTGCTTTCCTTTGGGTCACTTGAACATGTTTCAGAAATCCATTTTTATGTTCTTTGATTGATACATTTGATGTGTTTTCAGTGCATCTTTTTCCATAGCTATTTTAGTAGTTTCTCTATGTGCTATATATACATAACTGATCATAATGTCCTGGTGCCATCATTTTACTAGCCTGAATGAGGTATGGAAAGCTTACTTTCCTTTATGACTTCCTGTTTATAGTTGTCTCAAATACTTCCTCTGCATATATTTAGAGCCACATCAGTTGCTTCAACTGGCAAACATGATTCAGAACACATGCGAGGAAAAATGAAAGCCTATGGTATTTACCCATATTTTGCTTACTGTGTCCTTTTTTGATGTTCCAAGATTTATTCTTTTACCACTTCCTTTCTGTTTGGAGGAGATCTTCTTTGATTATTCATTTAAGGCAGGTCTGCTGGTGGCAAATTCTCTTTGTTTTCCTTCAGCCTGAAAATGTCTTGATTTCCCCTTTAATTCTAAAGGGTATTTTCACTGGGTATTGGATACTAGATTGACAGTTCTTTTCTTCCAGGACTTGAAAATACTTCGCAGTTTTCCTCTGGTCTCCAGGTTTCTCGTGAGAGAAGCACTGCTGCCCGAACCACTTCTCCTCTGTGGGGTGGGTGTTGTCTTCCTCTGGCTGCTTCCAAGACTTGGAAGACTTCTTTGTCTTCCGTTTTAAGAAGCTTATTGATGATGTGTCTTGATATGAATTTTGGGGGGTTCATCCTCTTTGGAGTTTTCTGTTTCTTAAATCTGTAGGCTTATGTCTCTTTCCAAGATTAGGAAGTTTTTAGCCATTCTTTCTTTTTTCAGCCCCACTTTCTTTCCTCTTCCTTGGGTCCCATGAAACATATGTGAGATCTTTTGTCACAGCCCCACAGGTCCCTGAGGCTCTGTGCTTTTCAGCCTGTTTGTCTCTGCTTTTCAGTGAGGTGGTTTCTATTCGGTTATTCGGCTCCCTTATTCCTTCCTGTCTTTGTTCTGCCGTTGAGCATATCTATTCAGCTATTTATCCTGATCATTGTATTTTTCAGTTCTGACATTTCTATTGGGCTCTTCTTTTTATGTTTTCTATCTTTTGCTATCCTTTCTATTTTTTCATTTTTTTCAAGTATATTTGGCATTTTTTTCATGGCTTCTTTAAAATCCTTGTCAGATAATTGTAACTTAGCTCAGTGTCGGCAGCTATTGCCTATCTTTTTTAAGTCGTTTGGGATCTTCGTGGTTTCACGTCACGTTGTGAGCCTCTGGAGCTTATCCATACCTTGTGTGGCAGCTGGCTCCCTCTGATGCCTCTGTGGCAGGGGAGGAGGGGAGGAGGGTGCTACCCCTTCCTTTCAGGTGGAGGTAGACATCCAGGTCCTCACACGGTCTTCATTCATACCCCAGCAGGAACTCCTCTATATTGCTGGTTGGGGAAGGGGGTGGAAATCTGTTTCTCCAAGTGGTCTCCAGGGAGTGGGAGGCTCATGACCAACTGATGATGACTAAGTCCAGGCCCCCTGCCTGGCCATTCCTAACACCACCCTGGTGTGGTGCTACAGCCAATACGAGACGGACATCCAGGCCCCATTCAAGCCTTCCTGGCCTTGGTGGGGTGCAGGGCCAGTTTTTCTGTGATGTTGGGCTATAATAAAGCAGTTATTGTCTGAATGCTTTTTTCTTGCTAAGCTTCTCTTTGTCTACGTTCTGACTAGAGGAACAGCCTTTTGTTGGGGCTGTTTCTATTTTATTTGTTGGTGTTTCTGCATTGCTGGACTTTTCAGCTCCATGTCTGGGATAACGGGGCAAAAGAAAATCTAAGGAGCCCACCGCCATGCCGTTGCTCCAGGCCTGAGGCCCCTGTTGGTTTGCCTGTTCTCCACTGTCCAGAGTCTTCTTGTGTTTGCTTTGTACACAGTGTCAAGGGTTTTTAGCTGTACTTACCAGGAGAAATAGGGGAAAGCATGTTTACTCTGTCTTCCAGAAGTTAAAATACATCAATTTTTTTTTAATGGTCCTAGGTGAACCTGACATGCATGGAAGACTGGGAATCATTAGACTGCTGCATTGGCTCTGATAGGGCCAGCTCTGGGCTATCTTTGAGGGCACCTTTCAAAAAGGTGACTACTATTCCATAAAGGGACATCATGCTGTCCCTTGACCCCCTTCTCAGCCCAGCTCCATGTAAGGCAAAGTTACCCAACTAAGGGCAGCCCGTATTGAGACTTTGGTGGCGGCTGAAAATGGTCCTGAGCAGATCACTGTAACAGCCAGTGGGGCAGTTTTTTCATAGGAGGAGAGAGACTCTTCTGTTATCAGGACACATGGAGAGGCTTCTCCCGTGGCCAGCAAAGTCCTCAGTGTTGTTTGCCCTAAGCTATGTATTATTTTCTATGGTTTTCTTCATTTCATCTGTTTTATTTTACAAATTTTTAAAGATAGTTTTTAAAGTAATTTTTATGGTTTTGAGCTTCTGTTGACTGCCATTGGCAATGTCTGACCATGGCCCTTCAACTCCACAGGTCTGAGCCCCACAGAGCTGCCATTTGATTGCCTTGAGAAGACAAGTCGAATGCTCAGCTCCACGTACAACTCCGAGAAGGCCGTGGTGAAGACGTGGCGCCACCTTGCCGAGAGCTTTGGGCTGAAGAGGGATGAGATCTGGGGCATGACAGATGGCATGCAGCTCTTCGACCGCATCAGCACGGCAGGCTACAGCATCCCAGAGCTGCTCACAAAACTGGTACAGATTGAGCGGCTGGATGCCGTGGAGTCCTTGTGCGCGGACATCCTGGAGTGGGCTGGCGTTGTGCTGTCTGCCTCCCAGCCGCCCGCCGCCCCCTGAGGAGCAGGCCTGTGGACCGTCCTCCCTGGGCTGCGCCCGGATTGGACAAGGACCCGGAACTGTGAACGGAGCCAGCAGGCTGCCAGGGGTCAGGCTGCTCCTGCCTTGTCACCAGGACGTGCCTTAGGCTGTCCCAGGCAGCAAGAGGACGGGAGGCCTGTCTTCTAGTCTAGCCAAAGATCAAAGCGTAAAGCTGGGATGCTCCCCACGGCTTGCCTGTACCTCACCAGGCAGAACACATATTTATTCACCCAGCCACCGGCCGGCCAGCCCACCATTAACTCATTCAAGGGACTTTATTTGGTATCAAAGGAACAAAACAATGTGGAATGCTAGATGAAGAGTCTGGTCCCTCTATTTAAGGGAGAGACAGGAGTAATGTCTACAAGGCAGAAACAGCCTGATCCTTGGCTAGAAGATACCAAACAACCTGGATGAGGGGGATTCTTAACAGAAGTTCTAGGAGAGGGAGATGGCCTCCCACTGAGGTGATGGTAAAATGGCCACAAAATGCTGACACCCCACTTGGTGTGTTGTTTCGGGTCCAGTACAAGTCTGTTAATATCCCATGTGGCTTCATTAGGATAACCCTGCCTATTCTTGAGGTCGTCGTATTCCTACAGCCCTTCCAGTCACTGATGGGGGAGCTCGCTCGACTTGTCCGGTCCGGGAGACCTGTACAGGAGTCTCACTTGCTCTAAGTTCGAGGCCCAGGAGCCCAGTGGTTTTGTATCACATGTGGATTGCCTTCCACCCTCATCCTCAATCAGATTTGGCCCTTTTGGGGCAGCAATGCTCAAGGACACAAGCCATGTAAATTACATGTCTTGCTGAACAGAAATGAGTGGCCAGCTCTGCTTAGAAAGGGGAATGGTGGCTTCCGAAGAGTTCAGCCATGCATTATTCTAGATTTTGAGTGTCTGAGACTTGTGAATGAGCTCATGGTATGAGAGTTTCGGACTCCAGCCTACTGAGCTGGAAGGAGAAGGAAGCCCCACAGTGAGGAAAGAGCCTGGGCTTAGAGTCCAGGGACCTGCTTCTAGTGCTGCCAACTTGGGCCACTTCCTTCTCCCTCCCTTGGCTTCTGTTTCTCTTCTGCAAATGAGAGGTTGGGCTGTGATTCTATAGTCAGGAAAATAAGGCTCAGGGGAGCAAAAAGGAAGGTGGAGCTACAGGAAATGCCAAGCCTTTGAGCTGCTCCCTGGAAGTGAGTACAGTGTAAGTCATCAAGTAAAATGAGAATAAAACAGAAAAACTGAGATTTGGGGTTTTCACAGTAGCTATAATTGTTTGGCATACATTTACAGATAAGGTTAATAAAACAGCACTGTTCTTGGCAAATTCTCTTATTACACTTGCAGCTGTCCAGTGCTGCGGAGCCAGGGTGGTGAGCAGGCCAGGGGGTTAATGTAGAGTCACTGCTGAGTTCCCTACTGATAGGTCTGACTGTGGTTTTTACCAAATTAAAAATAGTCTCTGATTTATAAAGCAATGTTTTCAAAGTTACATCGCGTAACTGAAGAAATGCTTTGGAGGAGGAAATCAGTCATATGTTTAAAGCCAACAAGCAATTTCCCACCAGTGAATGTAGAACATACTGCGATAGGATCATAATTAGGTCGTGAATATTTAGTATCATCATTTGCTGTGTCTGTTTGCAGCTGTGTTTCAGAACCTATCTGTTGTATCCTATAAGCTGACTACTCCACAGCAGTATTTAACCATCCTCGTAGCTTCTCTTTGAAATCCTGCAGCGTCCCTGTCCTATGCTTTGTGATAATGATGATACAAGCCTCCCCTTAATTCGACTGCAGATGTCACATGTGATGAGCATGCTACTCTAGGGGATGGCCTGCAGCTTCTCTAGAGCGTTCTCAGAGAGAGAGCAGGTGTAGCTGTCCTCTGGCTCCGGGGCTTTGCCCCATTTCACACTGTTAGGATTCTGGGGCCAGAGTTCCAGGCAGCGTCAGACCACGTCTCACTGACTCTTGGCTGTTTTTAAGGCACCAGTCCTTATATGGTCACACATTCAGTCGTTATTTACTTATTTGGAAACAAATCCAAGAAAAGTTTACTGCTATGAACTTTAGCCTCCACTGTGGAATTCAGACCGAGACTGTAGTGATCCCCACTGACCAAAGCTGGGATCCCGCATGCCATGTCATATAGAGACAGACATTATTTTGCCAGACTTAAAAGCATTTAGGAAACACCCCAGGCTAGAGCTATGGCCCTTAGCCAATGAAGTCTTAACTGTCAATGTTTTTTGTCTAATTCTGTTTATGTAACTTATTATATTTTACAAGTTCAATCAATAAACTAATAAAAAGGAGACCTTCACACTGCCTCTGTGAGAGTCTTTGTGGGCCTTGGAGAGAGGCAGGTGAGAGGAGAAAGTTCTGACTGGTCAGAGCCAGCCAGGTATGTGCCGCCTAAAGCATTGTGGCCTGGCCCATGCACTCAACAGAAGCAGGTATCACAATGAGATCATGTGAAACACACCTGGAGCATGGCTTGCAAGTTGCCATCATTACTTTATAAGGCACTGTATCACTTAGCTGCTGCTGCATAGCAAACTGCCCCCAAACTCAGTGGATTAAAGCCACAATCCCTTTATTATTAAAATTTGGGGTCAGTTTGAGGTTCCTAGCTGACACAGGTTGGGCTCAGCCAATGCAGCTCAGCTGCCTGCTGGACATCCTCACCTGGGGATACTTGTCCTGTTGTCTCTCACCTGCCTCTTCAGCCCTGTCACGCAGCCCAGCCCTGCCTCCATCAGGCAGCAATAGATGTGTAGATGTGCTCAGAACCACAGAAAGGTCATTCAGGTCTGGGCTCGGAACTAGCACACCATCACTTTAGTTCATTCTGTTGACCAAAGTAAGCCATTTGGCAAACCCAGAGTCAAGGACGGGGAACTTGACCCCACCCTAGGTATATAAGGAACTGCAATTTAGGACAGAGGAAGGCAAAAAATAGGGACAGACAACGCAAACAACCCACAGGTAAGTTAGTTTCCTATGGCTGTTGTAACAAAAGCTAACGGTTTAAAGCACCACAGAATTATGATCTCTTAGTTTGGAAGTCAGAAGTCCTAAAATCAAGGTTTCAACAGGTTTCCTCGTGGAGACTTTAGAAGATAATCTGTTTTCCTGCCTTTTCTGAGTTCCAGAGTCTATCTGTATTCCTTGGCTCAGGCTCCCTTCTGTCTTCCCAGCCAGTGATCACATCACTCCACCCCTGCTTCCATAGCCACATCTTCTCTCTCAGTCTCCTGCTTCCCTCTCTCCCTTAATGGGACCCTTGGGCTGACATCGGTCCCACCCAGATAATCCAGAATGACCTCTCCAGCTCAAGATACTTAACTTAGTCACCTCTGCAAAGTCCTTCTGTCATGTATGGTCACTGCTCATAGTGATCTCTTAGAATCCTTTGTGTCTCTGTTATCAGTTGGAATAAGAACTCTTTCATTTCTGATTTTATTTATTTAAGTCCTCTGTTTTTTCCCGATGAGTCTAGCCAAAGGTTTGCCAATGTTATCTTTTCAAAGAACCAGCTGTTAAGGGTCACCTGAAGGGTACATGATGGTGACATAGGAAAATCCTGAACTCACCTTTTCCCTCAACACTGAGCCTATACTTACATATGAAGCAATTTCCTCTTGAAAAACCTAAAGGCTGGCTGAGCGATGACTACATATAGAGCAAATGAGAAGAAAACCACATCAAAGTGGGTAGGAGAGGCTGGAACACACCCACACCAAGGAGGGAACTCGAAACCTGGAGCTGTTCCCTGAGGAGCAAAGAGCTCAGACCCCACATCAGGCACACCAGCTTTTAAGACATGCATCTGAGAGCTGAGCCCCCAAAACATCTGATTTTGAAAACCAAAGGGGTTCAAGTCCTGAGACCCACACAACTGTAGTGATTGGAGAAGTGCCGCTTAAAGGGCTCCTGCACTCGAACTCACCTACCCCAGGGTCCAAGCTCAGAGGCATCTGCTCAAGCCTGGACTTAACATGAAGGCAGTTCTCCTGCTTCTATGAAAACCTGACCCCAGGGCTGACTGTGACCCTCCCCGGAGACCTCCGGGTGGGTGCTGCCTCCATGCTCACCTTCACTCTGCATCCCAAGGGGGCTGTGCATGCACGTGGTTCTTGGCTTTTTTGGTCCCATGGAACTGTGGCAGTTGGAGGGACAGTTCTTGGAAGGCTGGAAGCCCCAGCCACCACACAGAAGACCAAGGCACACCCCTCTGTGTTTCTATGAGCGAGGCCACTTGGCTTATCCCAGACTTCCCTCCTGAGGAGCAGGCTTCAGGTTTGGCACACATCCTGGGCCATGCAGAGCCGCTCTCAAAGACTGTAGTCAGTGAGTGCCATGTTGGCACTCTCCCTCTGCCTTGCCCCAGCCGGCCGGTGTCTCTCACATGGAGCCTATCTACTTGTCTGGAGCCTTGGTTTTACACCTGCCACCCAGGGGACATGTCCACTTTATCTGGCTCTGGGGGCCAGTGGAGCTTACACTTGTAGCTTGTATATATTTGCATACTTCTAAAAGTTGTATCTGATGGCCTGGCATCTAGTCTGCCTGAATCTAGGGGCTGAGATTCTCCCCTCTGGGACAGAGAGGTCTTGACAAATCCTCATCTACCGAGAGCTATTAAAAATATAGGTCTCCTTGGACAGACACCTAGGTTTTAGAGATGGCCAAGATGGAGCAGGGCTGGCAGAGAAGTTCATCTAAACAAGGCCACGCTTTCAAGACTGGGAGAGGCAGTTGTTGCATCTACTGTATAAGAGCCAACACAGAGAGTCAAGCAAAATGAAGAAACAGAGGAACATTCCAAATGAAAGAACAAGATAAAACTTCAGGAAAAAACCTTAACGAAATGGGAGATGAGCAATTTATTAATAAAGAGTTCAGAGTGGTTATAGTGATGATTGCTGAAAAAAATGAATGGATGAACACAGTGAGAACATTAACAAAGAGATGGAAACATAAGGTACCAAACAGAAGTCACAGAACTGAAGAATACAATAGCTGAATGGAAAAAATACACTAGAGGGTTTCAACAGCAGACTAGTTGAAGCAGAAGAATGGATTAGTCAACTCAAAGACAAGGCAGTGGACCACACCCAATCAGAGCAGCAAAAAGAAAAAAAGAACAGGAGGGGTTCAAGTTGGTGGCATGGGCAGGGTGGCAGAAATCTCCTCCTAAAACCACATATATTTTTGAAAATACAACAAATACAACTAGTCCTAAAACAGAGACCAGAAGATACAGTACAACAGCCAGGCTACATCTACATCTGTGAGAACTCAGCATCTCATGAGAAGGGGATAAGATACAAAGCCGTAACTGAGCAGGACCTGAGCGCTCCCCCCACCCAAGCTCACCAGTGGGAGGAAAGGAGTCAGAGCAGGGAGGGAGTGGGAGCCCAGGACTGCTAAATAACCAGCCCTAGTAATCTGCACTGGGAGCACAGACACACATTGCATGGTGTACTGGATATTAGAGAAACAGAAAAGTAAAATCTAAGATGGAGACTGACAGCGGGTCCCCACAGCTGGCTGCCCTGGGACAAAAGAAAAGCGGGCACTTTTTAAAAGTCTTAAAGGGTCAAGGTCTTAACAGCTGGACAGAATCTTCCTGGCACACTCAGCCCAGCAGACTGGGAATGCGAAGGAACTTCAGGAGCTCCAACCCCCTGGGGGGTAACCCTGCCCTGAAGCCCCTCACAGCAATAAGCAGCCTGGTATTCATTCCCCCCAGCCAGTGCTGCAAGCAAACCAGCTGACCCACCACTGCTGTGGACCAGCTGGAGAACAGCCCCACCCACAGCAACCACCCAGAGTCTCCTCCCAGTACGCAGGTAACTGGGACAGACCCAGAGGCTGCCACCAGCACGTAGCTGCTGAGCACAGACAGAGGAAGCTGGAGCAAGGTCCAGGAGGCACGAAGAGGTGCCGTTCTCACAGGAGAACACACCATACACGTCTGCCACTCCCCACAGGGCTCTAGGCTAGCCCTAGGGCCACCCTGCCCATGGCAGCTCAGGTGATTATCCCAGAGACTGCTCCCTGTGTGCGGGAGACTGGCACAGGCAGCAGAGGCCAGAGCAGGGTCTGGAAGGCACGGAAGGGTGCTGTTCTTGCAGGAGAACACACTCTATGCATCTGCCACCCCCTGCAGGGCTCTGGGCTAGCCAGGGGGCCGCTCCGCACATAGCAGCTCAGGGGCTTGTCCAGGAGACTGCCTCCCAGTGTGCAGGTGACTGGGGCAGGCAGTGGAAGCCACAGCAAGGTCCAGAAGGCATGAGAGGGCACCATTCTCACAGGAGAACACACCCAAAGTGCCAGCAACCCCTTGCAGTGTCCTAGGCTGTCCTGAGTGCTGTCCCCGCCCATGGCAGCTCAGGGGATTATCCCAGAGACTGCTCCCGGTGTGTGGAATACCAACACAGGCAGCAGAGAAGAGCAAGGTGACCAGCAAGCAGGAAGGGACTTTGTTCTCCCAGCTGACATACACGCTATCTGCGTGCGACCCCTTCTATAGCAATGAGAAAGCAGAAGAATCTGGTCCAGTCAAAAATCACTCAGACAACCCCAGAGAAAAGGCCTGGTAAGACAGATGTAACCAATCTTCCGGAAAAAGAATTCAAAATAAAAGTCATAACCATATTGATGGACCTGCAGAGAAATATGCAAGAGCTAAGGGATGAAGTACGCAGGGAAATAACAGAAATGAAACAATCTATAGAAGGACTTAAGAGCAGACTGGATGAGGTGCAAGAGACTGTTAATAGAAGAGAATAGAAATCAGAGAACGGGAATACAGAGAAGCTGAGGCAGAGAGAGATAAAAGGACCTCTAAGAATGAAAGAATATTAAGAGAACTTTGTGACCAATCCAAATGGAACAATATACACATTATAGGGGTACCAGAAGAAGAAGAAGAGAGAAAAAGGGATAGAAAGTGTCTTTGAAGAAAATATTGCTGAAAACTTCCCTAAGCTGGGGAAGGAAATAGTCTCTCAGACCATGGAAGCCCACAGATCTCCCAACACAAGGAACCCAAGGAGTACAACACCAAGAAATATAATGAATAAAATGGCAAAGATCAAAGATAAGGAGAGAGTATTAAAGGCAGCCAGAGAGAGAAAAAAGATCACCTACAAAGGAAAACCCATCAGGCTATCATCAGACTTCTCAACAGAAACCTTACAGGTCAGAAGAGAATGTCAAGATAGCATAAAGCCCCAACTTCTGTGGGACGCAGCAAAAGCACTTATAAGAGGAAAGGATATAGCAATCCAGGCATATTTAAAGAAGGAAG